TACCTGTGTACTGTCATGAATTTGATTACAGAATTATTAAGATACTTAATGCTTTATAGGTAATGAAGTACTTTCACATGTCTTACCAATTTCTTAACTCCCTGGAGGTAAACCAACCATTTTACCTGAAAAAGTCAACAGAAAAGTTAAATGCCTGTGCTAAGGTACAACTAGCGAAAACCTAGACCTTCCAGTTCTTACTAATTCTGTGCTGTTCTCCATTACGACACACTTTGTTCCATAGCAGTTAAATAGTCACGTGGTTTATTTTATTTGAGAGTTAAACATTGGTTTATACTTTAGGGAAGGATAGTGATAAGTTTAAAAACCTAAGCTCTAGTAATTCATGAAAGGAGATTCAGATGGAGTGTTTAAGAGATTCTACGGGGAGCCATGAAGTCTTTAAATACTCCTTTGGAATGGTTACAAAAATTTATCAATTTTTTTTTTTCTACTGAAGTTCTCAGGAACAATTACTTGGCAAAACCAGGCTGCTGCTGCTGCTGCTGCTGCTGGTGGTGGTAGCAGCAGTTGCCTTTCTAAGGAGCCACGCCTTTGATTATTTGAGTAGTAAGCACACTGTTGTTGAAGGCACTGTTTCTGTACTGACACTTCATAAAGCCTCCTGTGAGGGAAGTCACCAAGTTCTAGTTAGATAGGTAAATAGATGATAGATAGATAGATAGATAGATAGATAGATAGATAGATAGATAGATAGATAGATAACTTCTAACCAGGAGCAACCCTTTACACTTACATACCTCATTGGCAGTACTACTTGGATGATAACCCTAAAATTTGCAACAATAACGAAGAAGATCATTGCTGATGGCTAATATGCCTCAAAAACTGGATCTCAAATACCAACTTGTTGGAATGGAAAAGAGGTAGTGACATACACATGCTTGCTTATTGCACATTTTACAGTTATGGTTTTTCCTTTAGATATGTCTTAGAGATAATTCATAGGAGTATAACCCTAAAAATTTTGGAGAAAGGACCCAGAACAATGAAATAATTGAAGATTTGAAAGTGAGCCATCTGGAATTTCAGAGTATGAATTAATTATTGTGTATTATATTTTTTCACTCCTGTGTATTCCCTTGTTTCTTTTTTTTCCTTCTCCTGCCTTACTCCCACCCCCCTCCTAACACTCACTATTCCCAATTCTCTGGATTTTTGAGTAAAAATATGTGTGTCAGTGTTATTTTATATCTTCATCAGCATCATTTCCTATCTGGCAGACTATTATCCTTAGCAACGGCAGCAAAAACAAGCCTGGGGCTCAATAATTGCAAGAAAAGAATAACCCTTCCTAATGAAGAAGCGAACTACTCTTCTTGCCTTTGCCATTGTCACATTGCCTACAGAACTGTTCAAATAGCCATTATCAATGCGGGCTTATTTCTACAATGGCATTTACGTGATGACTTCATATGAAGCCTGCTCTGACAAAGTTTTATGTTTGTTTTTGTAAATTGCTTCATTAGAATATCATATATCCCAGTAGAGAAATGCTCTCAATATATGGATCCATTAACTTTTCAGCCCTAACATTACATATTTGGCTGATTCTTGTTAATTTAAAACCTACTTAACTTTTCACACCTGGGGACTTTGGAAAGAACGGTGCATGAGTCATCCAGAATCAACACAAAATTTTGATTTCTCTTTGAAAAAGATTAATGGAAAATGCAAACTAAAAGTCACTTTCAGTAAATTTAGCAAGAGAGAATGATTTTGGTAGAAATAACTTTTTCATAACCTTCAGTTTTCACATTTTGTCTTAAAACAGCACATACACTGAAAACAAAAACTTCAGGTGCCTGTGAAAGACATTTTTTATTTTTATTTACTTATTTTTTAAGATTTTTATTGGGGAATTGGGGGAAGGGGAACAGACAAGTTGCTGTCCTTTCGTTCTTCAGTCTAGTTATGGAGGACGTTGCTTCACTGGCCCAAGTTGGCACCATCATTGCNTGTGGAGGGCAGTGTCACTGGCCCTCATATGTGGGATCTGAACCGGGCCCTTCTGGCGTCCCAAGCCAGTTCTTAACCATCACGCCACTCGGCCGGCCCCTCTTCTGGTTTTTGAATGGTGGTCGGCTCTTTAAGGATTTTAACAGTAGGAAATAGTGTTAGGTCACATGCTAAACAGTTGTTGCCTCTTGACCTCTATATATTGCAAAGTAAACCAGAACAAAAAGCTGACCATCTCCCAAGACACTTTCTCATGGAGGTTGGCCCACTATTATACATGAATATTGGGAGCACTAACTTTTCTTATATTTAGAAATCTCATGTATCTTGTGAGATGAAGTCATTTTCAGGACATGTTGATTTTAATATAAAATTGGAAATTATTTTCCTGCTTTGCTTTCACTAAGAACAGTAAGTACGTTACAGTTACAAGAACTTTAAGTGCCCACCAAATGGATAATTTGTTGTTGCTTTTTAAAATTATGTACATTCCCACTTAGAATATTTACAAAATATTCAAAGTAATTCATAGAAGTTTAATAGGAAGAATGTCAGCAGGATAGAAGGTGTGGATAAGGCCTCATAGGGCACCATGAGTGAGTTTAACAAGGTCCCAGAGTCTGGGCCTTAGCTTTGCAGGCCCCAAAACCTGCACTTGTAGATGATAAGACATCCATGGAGCCTCGTATTGGATTTGAGGCCACATTACCTAGTTTTGATTCCTGGCTCTACAATTTAACTGCCTATGTGACCTGGGGCAACTGTTCAGCCTTTATATCCTTTACTTCCCTCATCTGTAAGACAGACATGATGACAGTACTTACCTTGTAGAGTTGTGAAGATTGTGTGAGTCACTATCCATAGCGTACTTAAAACAATGCCTAGAATGTAATAGGTGGATATTATGTTGATGTGGTTTACGATAGGGGTGTTTCTGTCCTACCTTTTCCATCCCCTTTCCTGTTATCACATTTCCTGAGAAGTTGAATTCTTGTTGAGAAGATTGTTTGGTGTATAAGAAGTGAACAGAGTGTCTTAAGGAATACTTCATACAGGCTATGACCCTGTCTTTCAACAGAGCTGCTTATTCCTCTATGCCTCGCTAGAGATGTATCTTTTCCTCACTAGAGATGTTCATTACTAAAACTTTCTGTTCCCTCCCTGAACTCCCACGGCAATCCATTTTTTAGATATTAAATGCTGGCCAGCCCTGTTCATTGATGCTCTTTCAATGGTTTAATATTATTGATAAAGTTTCAAATAATTTTGCAAATTTTTTTAGACTAGGAAGGAAGATAGTATATTTAACTATTGTGTTTAACATAAATAGATGTAATCATATTTTCAGGTCTTTGGTGGATGAGTGAGCACCTCACTAGTACTTACAACAAGGACATTAAAGGGACATGAGTATACCTCAATTTTCCAGAGAAATTATCTTGAAAAATA